TGATAAGAGATAAGGAGATAAAATCTTCGAAAATATTTGTAGTACTTGTCGCGCTCTACAATTTTGTCCCAGACAGATATCTCTTATCTCTTATCAGTTGCGCAAAATACGCGAAACACCGCAGATGACCGCGAAAAATACGGGTTTTTTACTTGTCATTTTTCGCGTAACTGATAAGAGGTAGGGGAAATCTGTCTTCAGCAAAGCTGTAGAAAGGGTTGAGCTCTACAACATTCCCGAAGACACCAACTTGTTATCTCTTATCAGTTACTCGAAAAACCGCGAAAAGCGCGAGTTTTTTCTTATCATTTTTCGCGTTACTGATAAGAGATAACAAGTTGGTGTCTTCAAAAATGTTGTAGTACTCGACCTGTCCTATAACATTGCTCAAGACAAATATCTCTTATCTCTTATCAGTTCTGTAAAAAATGATAAGGAAAATCTCGCGTTTTTCGCGTTTTTGGCGTTTTTTCGTGGAACTGATAAGAGATAACGGAATAGTGTTTGCAAGAATATTATAGTACTTGACATGCTCTACAACTTTGCTGCAGACACAAATCTTTTTTCTCTTATCACACTCAAGTTTTCATACAAAAATGCATTATGGGCACCGATTTTACGAACAACGTTAGAAAATACATTTTACGGTTTGAAGCTTAAAGGTCCTCCGTGGTGTGTGTTTTCCTGATAATAAGACCTTAAAATAGACATACTTCTGGTAAAAATGTATTTTTCCAAAAAAAGCCTTACAAAAGTAGTGATATCAGATGAAAAACCTTTAGACGAGGTTGAAATGGAGTGACGCTCCGTACGTGGATTTACCACTCAAAAAGACTGATATCATTTTGAGTGACGCTTTGACGCTGTATTACCTCTGGATACGAAGTTCAGATGTGTTTTTCGCATTCACTATTGTAAAAACTTATTTACAATAAGGAACAATATCGCGTCACGACTTTTGAATTTAGTCTTCAAGTCAAGCTTTAAAGCGTTTTGCCGTCCAAAAGTCGTGATGCGATATTTTTCCTTATTGTAAATAAATTTTCACAATAGTGAATGCGAAAAACACTTTTGAACTTCGTACCCAGTGATAATACAACGTCCTAGCGTCACTCAAAATGATATCAGTCATTTTGAGTGGTAAATCCACGCACGGAGCGTTACTCCATTTCAACCTCGTGTAGAGGTTTTTCATCTGATACAGTTTACTCATAGGGAAAGTGCCACAATACATTTCAAATGTATGTCATTTGACTACTTTTTTCAATCGTGTGTGGCTTGAGTTGAATATAATCAACTTTACACTAGCAGCTTCTCTGCACACACACATCGTAGAAAAGAGTACAAAAAGCATAGTATTTTGGCAAATGCATCGAGTAACCATTGCAAAACATCAATACGTAGTAACGGCCTACAGAGAAGCTGTTAGCGTCGTCGTAAAGTTGATTATATTCTAGTAAAACCATACACGTTTGAAAAAAGTTGCCGAAAAATTCAATGATTCAATGAGTTGGAATTGAGATGGCATTGACTGCTATGTGTCAAATGACTTACATTTGAAATGTATTGTGGCACTATATCTATGGTATACATTTCCATATTCAAATAAAGCCATTGAAATATTATCACATGAACAGCACAACGACATATCGTAAAATTTGAATCGCTGTATTTCCATATTCAAATAGCCACGTCGAGTGAACACCACTCACACTTTAAGAGTGGAAAATGGATGGATTAAATTATACCGTATGCTTTGAAAAGTATATAAGAAGATGCGTTCGATCCACATGTCCATCAAACAATTCGTCAATTCTTATCAATTGATACGTTTACAATAAACTTTTGATAGTTTGAAGCTGGAAAAATGCTGAGTCGAAGATCTTTCACACTGCTGCTCGTTGGCTTGGTGGTATCCCAGGTGAGTCGGCCATTTCAAATTTTCTGTCATTCGATTCTTTCAGTTAAAAATTTAAGATAAGTTTTCTAAACTATACGTTCGAAAAAAAAGTTCATTTTTGAAAGAATATCTAAACTGAGTCAACGTCACTTCTACGCTAACAGCAATTCGTACACTAATGAGTCAGTGTGACAGTTGGCGTGAGCGGACACAGTTTGACAGCAACGATCGCATTCATTGTTCCCAATCTAGTCTAATCACTTTATTTTATTTGCACAGTTCTTAATCGTAAATGTGAGTGGAACATCAAACTCAACGACTGATTCAGTAAAAGATATAGTCAAACGAATTGAAAGTCGCGGGAAGAATAACGGTGGGGTGAATCTTAGCAAATCCTCTTCCTCAGTTGTGAGTGGAGCACCTTCCGTGAAAAAAATAACAAAAGCTCTGGAGCATATAAAATCTGCAGAACAACCAGACGGTAAGATTGGAGCTCCATTTATTCATCAGTTTCCCTCACAAATTTCATATACAAAGCATTTTTTGGTGTATAACGAGTGAATTGGTTCCGTGAAAATTTTCCTGTGATCTGATCTTTGTTCAACATTGTTTATATACTTTGCGATATAAAATGTGATCTTCGTCACATAGGTGGGCTGAACACAGGTCATTTCTCTTGGGTTACAGTCGATGTAATATTTCTTATGCTATAGGAGGTAATGTAATTTCGATTCACTGATCTACATTTTTTTTTTCAATTTTCAGTGAATATAAAAGACACAAAGGGAAGAACAGCTCTGCATAGAGCTGCTGAGACTGGTAAATTTGAACATTCATGCATGAAAACATTCACATATGTGTACAAAAAAAATGAATTGTTCAAAAAATTAAATTAATTTCATTGATCTGAATTATTTTTCAGGTAATACGGCGGAAGCTTCAAGACTCATCGCTAAAGGAGCCGATGTTAATATTGGAAATAATTTCAAAATAACACCTCTTCATTTGGCTGCTTTCAATTGTACAGTTGAATATAGTTTTTTACACTAAAAAGCTTCATCATTCAACATCTCACTTTGATATTTTGTCAAAACTTTAGCTTTTTATTGTTTCACTTTCTATCACACAAATTTGTGTTGTTTGTACTAACAGTTTGTATGGAAAATGTCTGTTTTGACATTAAAACCATCACATATTTGCGATATTTTAGTTCGAATCCCATTGTGGGTGGTAAACTAAAAAGATTTCTTGGAACTGTGTTATTTTTCAGGTCAAAAAGATGTTGCTAAACTTCTAATTGGTAAAGGAGCCAATGTTGATAGTGCAGATCAATCGAAAGTGACACCTCTTCATTACGCCGCTAAGAATGGTAAAGTTGAATCTTTATTTTCACCACATAGGCGATTGGTCTTGATCTTTTATCTTCGATTTATAATATCTTTCAGGTCACAAAGATGTTGCTGAAGTGCTTATCAAGAATGAAGCCGATTTTAATGTCAAAGATGGTTTTAATTTGACACCTCTTTGTTATGCTGCTCAGAAAGGTAATGTTTGGTTTTCGTTTTCACTGAATAGGAAATCTTTAATCTTTTCGATTGAATTGTTTCATTTTTCAGGTCACAATGATGTCGCTAAATTTCTCATCGGTGCAGGAGCCAATGTTAGTATTGGAAATAATTTTAATTGGACACCTCTTCATTTAGCTGCCATGAATGGTAATGTTGATTATTTTTACCAAATAGGAAATTGATTTGATCTTCTTCATCGATTGATTTTCGTCAGGTCACAAGGAAATCGCTGAAGAGCTCATTAAGAATGGAGCTGACATGAACTTCCAAGATGTTTTTAATCTGACACCTCTTCAGTATGCTACTGATAATGGTAAATTTGAATATTTCCTTCCCATTAAATAAGAAATTGGTTTGATCTTTTCCATCGATCTGTATAATTTTTCAAGTCGTGAGGAGTTGGCAAAATATCTCAGAAAAAAATGGAAAAAAATGAATCAGCTGAATAATCGGATGACTTCCTTCGATTCCCGTACTCGATCATCATGTAGAATATTAATTTCAATACTTCTTTAACAATCTTTGACCATACGAATATGCAATATTCTACTTTGTTCGACCATCGAATAAAATTCTGTAAAAAAATCTCATTTTGTTTGTTTTTTAGCACTACATGAAATGTAGAGCTACTAATCTGCTTTTTTTTCTTAATTCTTTTTGAGTGATGAAACAAATTATGGTGAATTTGAATTTTATGCTCATATTTTTTGTTAAATTTAAACCAAAGGCAGTATATTTAAAAAAATAAAAATAAAACCAAGATCTTGTAATTCATTTTGCAAATAAATTTATTACCTCAAAGTTATTTTGATGAAATACATTTCATGTAGTGCGCCAAAAAATAGTTTGTTGTGAAACAACAAAATAGATTAAGTAACTAAAAACTCAAGAACGCAGAGCGGAGCGAAGCGAAGCTCTGCGGTCTTGTTTAATTTTCTTTTAGTATTAAGTGAAATATTTTTTATATTATATTATTTTTGGATTTGTGCAGCAAACATTTGATTCAATTTGCATTCAATTTGATCCAATTGCGCTACTTTCCAAACCATAGCGAAGGTGATGAACAAAGCACATTTGTACTGGTAAGTAGTTAATATAAGTTATAAGCATTCATATAAGCATATTTAATGCTTAGCCCAAAAGGCAAAAATACCCCGACTCGCAAGCAATTCGAGTCTATTGTATGTGTGAGTTGGTTACGATGACTGTTGTGTCATGTCATTTAATCATTCACATTCACATTCATTTTCATATTTACTAATTTTAATTAAATTCTTCCAAATATTATCAGTTGAAACCAAGCATACTTCTCTCCATGGCTACCGATGCATTTTTTACGTCTCACCATCTATTGCAATAGATTTCATGTCACTAAATTGAAAATTAATTTGATTTTTTTTACTGATCTAAATTACTTTTTGCGTCACACGGTTATCGCTAAACTTCTAATCGATAAGAAAGCCAAATTTGGCTTTAAAGTTGATATTGGGGATAGTATGAATCAGACACCTCTTCATTACGCTGCTGAGAATGGTAATGTTGAATATTTAAGTTTACTTAATTGAAATTGGTCAAAAGTATTTAATTATTCATATTCATATTCATATTCACCGTATGTAAACGATAATCGATCTGTTGGCATTTTTTTTTAGCTTTAAAACGACTTTAAAATGGAATGGCGGCATATGTTGCCGCGAAGATGTGAAAATTTCCAGATTCGTATGACTACGTTACATAGCAACACCACTCAGCACTTCAAGAGTCAAGAATATTTTATAGAATTTGCAATTCAATGAGATCCAATTGCGTTATTTTCCAAACCATAGTGAAGGTGTTGAAGGAATGAACGTGAACATCTGGTATTTTCGATGCGATCCATTCCACGTGAAACGTATAATTTCGCACAATTTCACCAATTGACGACAATTGAATCGGTAAGAATAATTTTGACCTGTCAAATTGAGTGAAAATAAATGTGAAACATAGATTTTTTTTTATATGGACTTTACAACAACAACTCCATATGTTTCACATTCATTTGCCATCTTACCAATTCATATAATTGGTAGTATGACTGAAATAATACCTGATTGTGACCGAACTAAATTTTCGGATTCAATCAACTTAGCCAGTCTTAGTTGTTTGCAGCTACATCCGACCGAGTGACTGTTAGTCATTTTATTTCCACACGGGAAGCGAAAAAAAATTTGTGATATCAATTTTAAAAATCATTTCCACGCTATTTCAATCGTCCTAATTTGCATTCTTTTAACTAATTTTTACATCGTTCCCAAATATTTTAAAATTGATATCACGTATTTTGTGTTAAAATAAATTCAAAACTCATGAGCTATTTTTTAGGTCACAATAGCATCGCTAAACTTCTCGTCGGTAAAGGAGACAATGTCAATGAAGGAGATCATTTGAATCTGACTCCACTTCATTATGCTGCTAAGAATGGTAATTTTGAATTATTATTCTCACTAAATATGATATATTGATTTGATCTGGATTACGAGGGTAACTATTTATATTTTGCGCCTAACCAATTTTTAGTGTTGCCAGATGCAAACTGGAACTTCCATTGGAAAATTTGACATTTTTTAGGAATAAATACGTTGACAGATCGAAAAAAAAGTTTGCCCCTTTGGTTACACCAGCCCTTCAAAGTGAGGTCCATTTGTATGGGAAATTTTAGGGATTTTTACTCATTGCCATTGTGAAGACAATAAGTATGGCCGGATCCCAGTAATTATGTGTTTGTTAGTCACAATCAATAAGCAACACAATGGCAGTTCAAGTTGTCCTCAGAAGGTGCTCAGTATGGCTAACTCGTCAAAACTTTTTTTGTATGAAAATGGGGTAGGACCACACTTTGAAGGGCTGGTGTAACCAAAGGGGCAAACTTTTTTTCGATCTGTCAACGTATTTATTCCTAAAAAATGTCAAATTTTCCAATGGAAGTTCCAGTTTGCATCTGGCAACACTAAAAATTGGTTAGGCGCAAAATATAAATAGTTACCTACGTATTTTGCAGGGCATAAAGATGTCGTTGCAAGCTTCTTATCAAGTATAACGCCATAGTTAATCTTGAAGATCATTCGAAAGCGACACCTCTTCATTTAGCTTCTAAGAATGGTAATTTTGAATATTTATTTTCATTGCTAAATAAGAATATGGTTCGATCTTTTTCATTGATCTGTGTTATTTCATAGGTCACGGAAAGGTGGCTGAATATCTCCATGAGAAGGGTGGACGAATGTGAATAAGCTGAATAATCGGATGATTTCCCTCTATTCCCGTACTCCATTTTTTTTAATCATAACAAATTGGTATTGTCAGCAACAATGAGCTTTGCACACAAAATAACAGTACATTGTTGAGCTAATATGCGGTACAGTGCGTTCCATTTGCTATGTATTTGCATAGCGATTTTGCAGTGTGTATGTAATGCTCAAAAAATGAATAAATTATATGAAGAATAATATAATTTTCCTTTTTTTCAAATAAGCTTATTCATCAATGTATACTCCTCTTTCCTCGCTATAAGAAAAGGGAAAAACGGATAGTACTGATATCCGTCCGTTTTACTTGATTGAAAGAGAGCTACCATACGAAATTTTGGGATTTTTTTTTACGTTTTGTACGAATCTTCGTTACTTCGTTAGATTTAGTACAGCGCATGGTATCTTTCTTTCTATCTGGCTAAACATAGAAGATCCGACACGAAGCGGACGAAAAAAAAACAATATTGGGAAAAATTGAAGCGACCATCGCTAGTATGCTGAATATTAAACGCACCCATTCATTTTTCATTGTTTCAAAATAATACAAGAATCCTATTCCACCTGTCTCACTCCTACATAATAACATTCATTTAGGCATTAGGCGCGTGATAAAAGTAAAAACATCAAGATTCATGAGACATCTGTAGGTGAGTCTAGCATTGTGATACAGATGGGTATGATGCAAGCTCTATTTTCTGTATTAAGTTCAATGGCCGATTCATTTTGAATGGTCATACAGCATACACATAACAGCTCTGAAACGTCTTTAGAGAATATCTCTATGGAAAGTGTTACTAAGTATGGCTCTTATACGTTTAGTTTGTGACTATAGAATTGCAAAAGTCATCATTCAATTTATATTGGTAGATAAATCGAGGAAAAGTCAATCTGCAGTCAGTTTAGGCAAATCCATGTTGGTTGCAGAGTGCTTTGACTCTAACATTAGATCACAATTCGAAACGTAACATCAGGAAGGATGTAAGAAAACATTTTGTCAGTGTTTTGAATAATAATTAATGGAATGTAATACGTCCATGCAAAGAAGCACGTTGTGTCGTTTAATTATTCATTTTTACAATATGTAAATGAAGATCTATTTATGGTTATTTTTCACCTTTGAAACTTCTTTGAAACAGAGTGTGTTTTGTGCATGCTGCGAAGATGTGAACATTTCCATATTCCAATAAAGTCATTAGAATATTATCACGTGAATAGCATAAGGACAAATCGTGAAATTTAAATCGTTGTATTTCCATATTCAAATGGCCGCGTCGGATGAACACCACTCAACACTTTAAGAGTGGAAAATTTTTGCCTACAATTTCAATTCAATGTGATCCAACTGCGGTGTTTTTAAACCATCATGAACGTGATGAAGGAATGAACATGAACATCTGTTATTTTCGATACGATTCATTCCACGTGGAACGTGCCCTTGTTGATCTTGGAGATAATTTGGGTACGACACCTATAAGCTGTCGAGAAAGGTAATTTGGAATACTTTTTTTTCTCGCTAAATAGGAAATTGCTTTGATCTTTTTCATCGATTTGTTCTATTTTTTCAGATCACAAGCATGTCACCGAACTTCTCCTCCGTAAAGGAGCCAAGGTTAATGCTAAAAATCATCAGAATAAGACACCTTCAATCTTCATTTAGCCACTCAGAATGTTATTGTTGTATCACTACATAAGAAATTTGTTTGATCTCCTTCATTGATCTGTATTATTTTTCAGGCCACAAAGATGTCGCCAAACTGTGCATCGATAAAGGAGCCAAAATTCATTAGCTGTATAAGCGCATGCATTATTTCGATTCCCGTATATTCGATTGTCTTGTAGAATCCTAATTTCAATACATTTTTTTTCAATCTCTTCGACCGTTGCTTTGCTAGAACATCATTTAATATTTTGTCAAACATAAATTTCGATTGTGTTTGAAGTGGCTCTCGTACACTTTCAAATAAAAGTCGTGTTAAAAATATTCCATTCTTGAGCTGACTTTTCTTTTTCACTTTCTGTTCTGTATATCTGCAAACATATTCGAATGTATTTGTATATTCGTGAACTGCAAAGTTTATTTCAAGTGCCGCCAATGTGCATTGCATTGAATATTAGCAAATATGCGTTTTCCGATGGCTGAGCATCTCAGCATTTCGTATGCTGCGGATATATCCGAGCATATCGACGACGCATACTGTATAATACGGTGGTGTTGTTGAGCCTCTGCTCCGCTCTGCGGCTGTGCATAGCAAAGA